TGTTCCCCTCCTCCTCTTTTTTTTTTTCTTTTTTAAATCGATATTGTTCTTTCACATTATTAGCCTATCCCTAACCACCAGACGCATCCTTGTGGCTCTCCTTTTGTTTGCATCACGATTCAGTAGGCTAGTTTTTCACTTTTTAAGCTGATGTCAAAGTTGTAAGTCATTTCGTAAGCCGTGGAGAGCACCAAGACTTATACATGTAGAAGCTGACGCAATGGTATTCTGTTATGGTTGAGAAATTTAAGACGGATGAAAACGAGGCTGTAAACAATTTGTTTTAATAGAGCTCCACGTCAAGTTACGCATGCCGTATAGGCCCTATTTAATCTGTTATTTTTTCCCGTGGGTGGTCGGAAGATGATGCTTGAATTGATAAGTTCCAGTCTTTCCTATTCACCTGTTATCTTTGCCTGCCATTTTCTATATGCCCTGCTGTTTCGATATGTGTCCACTTTCATCCGGAGTCATCTCCATTTCATCCAACAATATTTCTTCTTTTAAAAAAAACACAAAAAAACAAGAGCACAGACGTGTCTAGTTTCTGAATTAAAGAACAACGAAAGCAGCGAGTCACCCACCACCTTTGCTAGAAGCGTCTCTTTTATTTGGAACTTTCATTAAACGTACAATGCCCAAACCCGTCGATATCGGCGTCTGTGGTGTTGCGGTTTAAACGTTTCGCTGTCGCACGCAGGAAACTCGAGTTCGATATCCGAGCATGAAAAACATTATTGTATCGAGTCTTAGGGTCTTTCTGTTGGGATGCTGTGTCCCTCTCAGCCCGGGTTGGCCCTGGCAGGTAGAGTTGTAAGTCCGACTCTTAAATTGTGATCTAAATTGTGTCGATTGGGGCGTAAAATCACTTACATTTTAAAAAAACACGTTTATTCAGGCGTCTGTTCGTCTTTAGTGTAAGGCAGGGGATTCTGTATCCCTCTCAACTCTCAGCTATTTGCTATTGTTGAAACTCGCATGCAAGGTCGATGAAGCCTACCCCTTTAATGACCTAAAGTGTGTTGGTGTGACAGTAAAAACATGTACAATCTTTCTTTCTTTTGTCGTTTGTTTTAGACGGGAGGGAGTGGGTTGGGTAGGCAAGTGTTCATACTTGTCATTAAATCAGCGTTCGTCCATAATTATTCTAGCAAGCTTGTAAGCATGGCATGGTAGAGAAGAAAGGGGGAGAGGGCAAGAGAAACAGTAAAGGTAGCTAGGAGAAAGGGGAGGAGGGGGATGGGACGAAAGGAGGTGATGCTCAAAAGAAAACACCAGAGCAAGATCGGGTAGTTCGTAAGTGCCTGCTTCCCGCCTGTGTATCACTTTGAACACCAAAAGGAAAGAAAGAAAAAAAAACGTTGAAGAGAAAATAAACGTTACACATTTTTAAGAGTTAAAACGATTTATAATGTTCATGAGGAGGTGGATGAAGAGGTGGGGAGTAAGAGGAAGGGAGGGGGGGGGGAATGAGGGAGGCAAAGAAAATGAAAACCAGAGGGCTGAAGATCATTCTCGTGAGTTGAGGAGAAAGTTGAGAGTTGCGGAAAACTGAAACCGTGAACGAAGCAAAAAGGAAGCAAACTAACGTAAAAAAAAAAAAATATATATATATAGAAATGTAGAAAACGAAAGATATAGACATTTTTTTCACTTTTCTTCAACTAAAGTTTAACACGGACTGAGGGAAACGCGTTAATCTTTATCATTGCTTGTATATCAAGGCATACAACGTTTCAACTAACGTGTGCAAGAGCTTCATAATCTTCCAGACCATCACTTGGTAACCCCAAATTCCAATCTTCCAGATAACGACTGCATTAACAAAAAATTGCATTCTAGCAAGGGAAGTACATGTATATCACCCATGCTCTGCTCACAAACTGCGTGTGTATATGTGTGTCTCAGTGTGTCAATATCTGTGTGAGTGTGTGTGTGTGTGTGTGTGTGTGTGTGTGTGTGTGTGTGTGTGTGTGTGTGTGTTGTGTGTGTGTGTGCATTTGTGTCTGTGTGTCTGTGTGTCTCTGTGTTTGTGTGTTTGTGTTGGGTCTGCATGTGTTTTTGTGTGAGTGTGTGAGTATGTGTGTGTATGAGTGTTTGTATACGTCTGTCTGTCTGTACACGTCTGTCTGTCTGACTTTCTGTCTGTTTGTCTGTCTGTCTGTCTGTCTGTCTGTCTGTCTGTCTGTCTGTCTGTCTG